GAAGCTTGATGTACGCAATGGTCTGTACGAGACCAGACATTGGCCATGCACTGGGAGTGGTCAGCCGGTTTATGTCGAATCCAGGAAAAGCTCATTGGGAGGCGGTCAAGTGGATTCTGAGATATCTGCGAGGCACCACACAGAAGTGTTTGCACTTTGGTAAGGGAGAGGTAGAAGTGCAAGGGTACGTAGATGCAGACTTCGGCGGTGAAGTCAATCACCGAAGAAGCACCACCGGCTATGTATTCACCGTTGGAACTACAGTTGTTAGTTGGATGTCACAGGTACATAAGATCGTTACCCTATCCACTACAGAAGCTGAGTATGTTGCAGTGACTGAAGCCAGTAAAGAGATGATATGGCTTCAGGGTTTGTTAACAGAGTTGGGATTCAAACAGGAAAAGAATGTTTTGCACAGTGATAGTCAGAGTGCAATACACTTGGCGAAGAATTCAGCATTTCATTCTAGAATGAAGCATATTGCTCTTCGGTACCACTTCATCAGATCCCTGTTGGAAGATGACGTGTTAAAACTGGAAAAGATTCTAGGAAGTAAGAATCCAGCAGACATGTTAACCAAGACGGTGACAGTTCAGAAACTGGAGTTGTGCGCAACTTCAGTTGGCCTTCATGCATAGATGATGAGGGCGGAGCCACACAGGAGAGGAGTTTGATGAGATAGCCCGTTGGCGTCGGTTTGGTCTCCAAGTGGGAGATTGTTAGTTTAGGAGGTGGATACCAACCTCCGCCGGCGACGAAGCTCCGACGAGCTTGAGGATCCGCGCAGATGAGCGTGGATGTCGACGGCGAACTCCAGGCTCAGTTCGAGATGGAGCTCGAGCAGGCAAGCTCGAAAATGGTGTTTCCGACCCCCGTGTTTCAGCAGCTCGACCCCCGCGTTTCAGCAGCTTGACCCCCGCGTTCAGGACTCCGACGTCAGCGTTCTGGCTTTCCCACCCTCGTGTCCGAGCGGACCGCTGGCGACAGGCTGTCGCCAGCCTGTCAACGATTCGCCTATAAAAGCAACCCCCAATGCCTAGGGTTTAGGTGCTTTTTTCCCCTTTTGTTTTCTTCTGGCGGCGAATCCTCTTAACGCAGCAGCGTTCATCCCAAAATCACAGCAGCGATTTTCAATCCCCAGCTTTCATTCAACAGTGTTTGAAGGGGGATATTTAAGAAGAGAGAGAAAAGAGAAGAGGGTATTTATTGTGGGTATTAACACTGTAGCTACAGTGTTCTATTTGAGAAATCTTAGTTTTGAGATTTGCTCTTCAATTGTAATTTCTTGTTTGATTAATAAGAAATTGACTGTGTGGCTCCCGAGGACGTAGGCAGTTGCCGAACCTCGTAAATCTTGGTGTACTTTTTTCTATTCTGTGTTTCTGTTGCATTAGGGATTTAGATGGTTATTTCCCAACACTAGCAGCTGGTATCCTCTGTAGATAAACCCGATCATTCTCCTTCACAGCCCTCCCAAGATTACGATTCATATCGCTCTCCGGTTTGGACACGGAATCAAGAAGAGGCGCAGCAACTCCCTTGGAAGATTTCTTTGCATCCGAGAGTGCACCTAATCCAATTTTGAGGCGTGCTATTTCTTCAGCAATCTCGTCTTTACTGAGAAGCTCTAAGGCGTACCTATAACAAGACTCAGCGTAGAACTGGGCAGACTTTGACTGCACGTGAGAGATCCATGTGCGATCAAAATGCTGGTTAAGAGGAGCAGAGTTCAGAGCTGCATAAGCTTCTTCATAGTAGAGACAAACCTACAAAATTCACCAAAAATCAACTATATTAGATAATGATCGAGTTGCATATGTGGTATCTCTTTCAAAATCTGGAAAAATATTTATAGTAGAAGTGCATTTGTAGTAAGAACCCATGAATAAGCTGATGGAAGAATATGGATATAAATTGTTTGCCCATCGAAAGTAGTCTCCAGAATATGGATATAAAATGTTTCCCTTATTTTCATGTTCTTGATCTGATTGTCCAGAACCGTCTACTCTATATGCAGTACTCAATCCATCACACTATAGAAGTGCCTAAATCGAAGTTCAATGTTGAGGAACTAAAACTAATCGATCAAGAACAGTCATTCACTGCATGAAAAAGATATCTTAAATTGCTAACGTCTCACATTTTCCTTCATTTCTCTACATACCAACTGATACTCACAAAATCAAAGAAAAACCTCTACATCACAATTAAATTACCCACAAGACTAAAACGAATATTAATATTAAAAAAAATTGGTATCCTGGTATCACTTGATAATGTTACATGTCGTGAGTTGCAGTTTTGGTATCTCTTCACAATATGGCAATAGTATTTATGTACCGCATTCCTCGAGTAACAACTAATGAATATATATTTAACTGATTGAACAATATCTAAATGTTCTTGATCTAATTGCCTTCAAGTCCTACTCTTAAGTAATGAATGAAACCACTGACTAAAATCATATTCAACTTTCACAGTCTAAAAGAAATCAATCAACACCTATAATTGATTGATTGAACAAGATATACTATGTTTCCAGCCCACGTACACCAAATGTGTGACAATTCCCTTCATTTCTCTACAACCCATAGAATTCATAAAATTAAGGAAATGCTCTACATCAAATTAAACTGCTCTACAAAACTTGAACTAATTTAAATGAAGACCAGCACATAAATGTAGCATTTACCTGCCTCGCAACCTTCGAGCAAAGCCCCGGGGGCTTCCCATCCCCAATAACCTTCTCAAAAAAACACACTGCTGCGCCTGCGGCCAACTCGACCCCCTCCCCCCACTCACCCACCCCCACCTATTCATCGCACTCTCGCGGCGAGCACTCCACTGTCGCGGCTCCCCGCGCCGCACCCGTTCAACTCGCCGTCTCTTCAACAACACCAAATGCCCCGCCAGCTGAAACGCATTACACGCCACTTAATCCCTCCCTTTCCCCCTATCTGCGGACACAATTAACGCAATCTGCTATAAACCGCGCCCAATTGAACAAGATCGCAGCTTTTTAAACTGGATCGGACGAACAGTGTCGCCTTCTTATAGGTTTAAACGCCGTCGTACCACATGAAGGAGAGGGACGAGGCTACGGTGGAACCAGGGCTCGATTAGGGTTAGGGCTTTGAAGTAAGAATGGAGCTGATCGCAGCAGAGATCGGCGGTTGCAGGAGGCGGGGGTCTCGAGCTCAGATCGGAGATTGCGGATCGTTCGAGATTCGTCTTCGGTGGATTGGGGTCGCCGCTCGGAGTAGTTGAGGGCGATGTAGTTTCGGAGGGGCGGTAGATGTCGGTGGCGGTGGTCTTCTTCTCGTGTACGGCGAGCATCACGTTACCGACGTCGATACCTTATCTCCCAAATATATGCAAATTTATCAAAAAAAAAAAAAAAAATTCATCCCCTCCCTCTCCCCCTCCTCCTCCTCTTCTCTCATTCCCCTCTCCTCCCCTCCTCCGCCTCCCCGCATCAGAAATCTGCCGTTGTGTTTCCTCTTGCTAGTTCACACTACGTAATTATGTTTACTTGCCTCCCAAGTCTCACAATACAATTAGCTTAATTTGATTAATCTAACAAGAAATCACATTGCTTTTTCTTGATTGATTTCTCATCCTTGTTCATCCGCATCCTTCAACTCCTCGTGTTACAATGAACGTGAAGAAGAAATGCAACAAAACGCCATCGACGATGAATACAACAAAGCTCTCCACACAAAGTCATACGCTGACATTTACTCAAGACTGCAGAATCAGCTGAAGGCATCCTCCAACATCTTCATACGATCTCCCAAAATGGAGGAACATGATGAAGATCAAGAGAAGAATTACAAGTTCTACCAAATCCCTGACTTCCTCCTCGAGCCAATGCAAGAACCACTCCTCGTTTCCACTTCCCCTTAACTTCACTTCTAACGGGTTCATCCACCACCTCAACAAGCTTCTCCATGACTTCTTCGACGCCGCATTTCAAGCAATTGAGGCATGTGTCTCCCTCCTCTCGGCCATAGACCACGTTCGCTCCCACCATCGCTCCATCCACCGCCTCCTGCCCTCACTACCCCACATTGATCCGTCGCCTCACTTCCTGTCACTGCAGGATCCGTCGAATTTTGAAGCTAGTAAACTTTACCAAGAAAGCAGCGGTGTGATCATCGTTGCTCTGGTAAGTGCAACATTGGTCGCAGCGGCGATTATTGCGTCTCATGGATTGGCTGCAGTGGTTGCAGCGCCGATAGCCCATTCCTCCCCTCCTCTGCCAGCTCAAGCTCTTCAAGTGGGAGTGTCCAGCATTGGTTATGCACTCGTTTTTCAAGGAGAGAATTATGATTTCTGATGCGGGGAGGCGTAGGAGGGGAGGAGATGGGAATGGGAGAGGAGGAGGACGAAGACAAGGAGGAGAGGGAGGGATGAATTTTTATTTTTGATAATTTTGGAAGATAAGGGGTTAAAAATAAATTTTCTTGTCGGAATTTTGGAAAAAATGATCTTATTATTGACAAAAAGGACGAGATTAAATGTCTTGTCGTCGGAGGAGTTTTAAAAAATACCAAACTAGCAAACACGTTCGTATAAATATACCAATTTGGTATCCGATTAAAATTAGGTAAACCCTCAAAGTGAGGGGTCTGATAATAATTCTACTAACATGCTAGGAAATAACTTTCCTATTTAGATAGGTCTAGTAATAACTCTACTAACATGCTAGGAAATAACTTTCCTATTTAGAAAGAAAGTTAGCTCTCATCGTTCCCAAATACTAGAAATGAAAGTTTTACATTAAATCTTATTTGACGGGTTATTCAGATTAATAAATGAGATAACTATGTTAACTCTTCTGCAACTTTTTGGTGCAAATCATACTTTTCATTTTACAAACATGTCAAGGTTCACCTTGAGGTTCACATTTTCTCACTTCAGACGAAAACGTTTTTTAAAGGAAATTAAACAAAATAAAAGAAAGGGAAACTTGGCACAGCTTAACTTAGGAAACAAAATGGCTCCTCAGAATGAAGACCGAGTATCCCTTGCTAAAATAATACATAGTAACAACCATAAAGAAAGAAAAGAATTAACATTTTTAGTGCCAAAAATTCTAAGCTAAAACCTTTCTTGTTCTCGTTGATTCACAAGATCAAAAAACAAAATTACACTCATAACAAATGAAAAACGGATTAAAAAATAAAGTATCAAGACCAAGACATTCAATAAACATACCCCATTTTAAAACTCAAAATTTCCTTCCTAGAAACTTTGCACATGTTATTATTTTGAACCTTTGCTTGCCTTCTTAGGACGAGGACGCCTCTTTTTGGAGGAATTCGATACTGACCTCCCATTCCTAGTATTCTGTTTAGAAGAGTTGTCGGGCTTTCGTTTCTTATTTGACAGTTGCAGTGAGGGATGATCTTCATCTTCAGAAGCAGAGTCGACTTTGGACTTGTCATCACTTATTTGACAGTTGCAGTGAGGGATGATCTTCATCTTCAGAAGCAGAGTCGACTTTGGACTTGTCATCACCATCCTCATCTGAACTCAAGACCAGGTCCTCGACCAGATCTTCATCACCCTCTACCTCATACTCTTCATGGCTGCGCTTCTTTGATTCTTTAGGCTTTTCCTTCGGAACCCTGCATATGATGTACATCAATAACCATACACAAAATAATATAGCACCAGAGGAAGATAAAAAGTTTGGCAGCAGGTAGAATTATACTTGGATTTCTTTTCAGGCAACCAGGATGAGCTAAAGACATTATTTGCTTCTTCCTCATCTGCTTCGTGTTCTTCATCCTCCTCAATTTCAGATAATTTGCTGCTAAATATAGAAGATTCTGCTCCCACAATAACACTGTCAATGGGAAAGGAAATAGATAAATAAGCATACATCAGAAGTCAAGTAAAAAAGGTAAGCAAACTAACATATTAAAGGGCAGTCCAATCGTTAGCAATAAAAAAAATCCTTCAACTGAAAAAGGAAGAGAAAGAAATATCTTTCACTTATCACATATAGCTACAAGGCAAACCTAGAATCCACCATTGCGTCAATCCTCTGTTGAGCTCTCAGGCGTAATTGATCAGCAAATTGGGAAAGAGGGCTGGACCCGGACTCCTTCTCAGCCTATAGCAAAATAATGTATCATCATAATATGGTCAAACACACATGTACAAAACATATACACACACAAAACAGGAAAGAGCAAAGAAACAAGTTGGACGTATCATACCTTAAGAAAGGATTCAATGGCTATTAAATCTGGTGAGATATCAGCAGTTGCACGCTTGGAATTAGTAACTTCTGAATTGGCCTCAACCTGTGGAAAAAGTGCAGAACAATCTATTATGACCGCAAACAAGCTTGAGAATATTGATTACTAGAACAACAAACAACAGTGTCTCTCATAGATAATACCTGGCGTATAAGATCTTTTATTTCCCTCCTAGACCTGTCAACATCTGTGGACTTGCAAAAGCTTCGAAGCCTAACAAGTGGAATAAATGACAGCTCAAAGAAGGCAGGAGAATAGCTCCACTGAGCCAAATGTTCAGCGAGTTCTTCAACCAAATAATATGTACATTCCTCCTGCAGGAGAATAGCTCCACTGAGCCAAATGTTCAGCGAGTTCTTCAACCAAATAATATGTACATTCCTCCTGGAAGGCGCGAGTTTTTAGTGTTGTCTTGTCAACCTGCCATAGAACTCACACATTAGTTACCATAGATAATGAAGTCAGATTATAACAAAGGGTAAATTTCATTTAATCCCCACTGAACTTCAGTGTGTTTACAACATACGAGGGTTAGTTGGAAGAAAGAAAGCTCAGGGGTTTTATGTGCAAAGACCCCCAAGTACAAAAGTTTTATGTGAAATTTACCCTTAAACAAATTGACGAAGCTCACCTGTTTAACACTAAGCAAATTGACTGCTTTACCTACACCCCCAGTGGAGCGTTTATGCAACTCTTTCATTTCCAACATATCAAGAAGGTGTGAAGACACAGGAATATAGGTACCAGTGGCTCCGGCTAGGCGGTTGAGCATTTTCATGCATCGAAGCCTGAGAGGGATGTATCGAGCCGTGGGAACCAGAGATGCTACACCAGAAATTATTTGAGCAAGTGGGTATGCTAAAGGCCCAAACTCAGCTTCTGAGTTATAGGCACAAATAACTCCAGTCCATAGTTCAAGACAACTGATGAATTGCCAATCATAGACCTTCTGATATGCTTTCTGGGGGGAGAAAGAGAATAAAAGATGAATATATTATAACTATCGTCTCTGGAATTTAGACTATGAAATATTGAAGCAAAATATTTAACAACTGACCAGCCAAAAGACTAAATTACTAGTATTATCAATAACAGTTTGCTTTATATGCACAAATTGTTGAATAATGTTATTTGCTAGATTTTTATAAGAAATGTAGAACATGTGATCCTTTGAAACTTGTGCCAACTTCAACAATCACCATGCTGGCTCCTCCAGATATGATTTTGCTAAATTCTCAACAAAAAATGTAGAACTACTTCTACAGGTAAGATGGTGGCACATAGAATTACCGCTCTAAATAGTAAATATTCACAGAAGAATATGGTCTGGAAACTAAGATCCATCAAAAAGAGTTTCCTAGTACTTTGATATAATTAGTGCAAAACAAGTTAGGCCCTTGCGTATATGATTAATGACTGCCAAACGTTTTACTTTTTTCCTTATAAATGTTTTGTTTCCACTTCCCTTTACTCATCTGCTTACCGTGGTGGAAGGTACTTGGGTGGCTAAGTTGCATGGGTGCAGGTACGGTCACCGGTATAGGTATGTGTACGGGACACGAAAAATTTGTAAAAGAGAGAGTATGGGTACATGGCTATGTATATAGTATGCAGTAATTATAGTTTTTTCCTGTTACTTAGTTTCAGAAACATATTGCTCCCGTTGAGTAGGGAACTCTCACTATGGCCTTAAGTTGACCAGTAAACAATTCAGTAATGAGTTGTGCCTCATTGGTGAACCATTTTGATGGGGTAAGTCTTAGATGGATATGAATTTGATGAATAAAGCCCTTTATCCTTCAACAAAAATGATTGCCTATGATAATTGACTTCATCTAGAAGGTAAATCAAGGTTGTAATCAAACGAGTTGTTGTAGTATAGAGGTAAAGATACTTTATTCCCAAGTATATATTGGTTCAATTTTGCCTCTTAGTGTAGGCAGAATAGGTATATAATTCATATGTGCTTGATAACTAAAGTACAACTAATCCAAGTATCCAACATGTATCTTCAAACAAAACTTCCTCCTACACTGCACTATAACACGTTATTTCACCAACATAACTCGGAAGCAAAAGCCATACATGTTGCATGAATAGAAGGTGTAATTACATATATAAGGAGATAGAATCAAGAAAAGCATGAATAAAGGATGAGAAATGGCTTATTTGATTCACATCCAGTTGCTTCTTGCTCTTGCTTCCATCTCGCTGTTTTTTGTTGTTCTTCTCTTTAACTACCTTTTCCAGAAGTAAAAAGGAGTTGTTGTAAAAAAAGGAAAAAATGTTGGTCATGCAACTTAAACCACACATTTGAGGGGAAAAAGACCACCAGAGGGTCGACGATTACCTTATCCCCTCTTACAGTAAGGGCGTCTCGTAATATCACGCCCAGTTGACGGATGAATACAAAAGCATGTTGATATGCACTTGGTACGTCCACTCCATAGAGTTCAGTTACACAATTTCCAAGAAAATGAATGTGCTGCTGCTTTGATCTACTTACAGATTTAGATAATTTACAATTCATCACATAGGCCTTGTACATACCCTTGAGGCAAGTATCAAGGCAATCCGAACCAAGTCGAACACACAAGTCCCTTAGGAATAGGAATGACACAATTGGGAGTGCACCTCTTCCAGTGCCCCATGAATGGAGTGCTACCTGAAATATTATGCTTGGATTTAACATTAACCAAAAAATCATTTAATCTTTGAAACACAAATTTATCCCACATGTATAAACAATGTAGATTAGAGGTCACACTTATAAGCCACCATGTTATATATAGTGTGTGATGCAAAATAATCATATACCTTGATGTATTTCCTCAAGAGAGTAGGAAAGGCAGCTAAAAATACACCTGATGCCTTCACGCGTTTCAAGGTGAACGAGATCATCTGCTCATCGGTCATTTCTGTCAATATGTGAAGTGTGTTGCTAAGATATATCCTCATTAAAGTGCCATGTTTCGTCCAGGTTTTTGTGGTTGTTAGATCCATAATTGTTTCCTTTCTCCCTCCAGTGTTTGGAGCACCAAGCAAACCACGGAGAATGCCATCCATTTCATTCAGAACAAACACCATTATTTTATTGAAAACATTGCTCGAGACGATACTAAATTTTGGTGATGTGACATCACTGTCATCACCGCAATGGCAGGCAAAACGAAAGGCCCGCAACATAGATCTAATTGCACCAAGCCTTCTTTCTTCTTTAATTGCTTTGCACCAGGAATCAACCATTGCAGTTGTAACTGCTTTTTCTGGCTTCTTTTGTGACTCCACAGCGGGTTGAGTTTCCTCATCAGCCTCGAAAATCGTTTCTTCATCCTCCTAACCAATACAAGAAACACACAAGTTAATTCACCAGTTTTAAAAATTAAGAACTAGTCGTCATAAATTAATATAAAAACTACACACATCAATGTCTTTGTTATTGAACTCCAGAAGCTCCTTATCATGGTCTTTCAGATATTGATAGAACTCCGGATCCTGTATCGAGAGAAGAATAAAGTAAAGAGTCACAAATAATACAAACGGATCACAGTAAAAATTATGATCAGATACCATAACCTTCATAAAGAACATGAGTACCAACGATGCATTAGTGGAACTACTAATAGGAAATATGCCTCATTTATAAGCTGAAATTATAAATTTCTAGAACAGTAAAATCTAGAAATTAAGGCTGATGACTTGCATAATCCTATACCCAAAACAATATGAACTTGTAAAACAGATACACATTGTTTTGTGTAATTTCACAGTACAAGTTTATATTGTTTTGTGTAATTTCTAGAACATGAGTACGAACGATGCATAATCCTAAACCCAAAACTGTGAATTAAAAAAGAACATTTGGGGTACAAAGATTGCACCTTTTCTTGAAGCCTTTGCAGCTGCTCGACATGCTCTTTAGCTTTTTTGCGGGAAAGGTACACGCTTTGGCCGCCTGCAGGGTTGCTAATATCTAATTCCGCAGTCAGCTAAAGCTATCTCATTTCGTACGGGGAAAATAAAGAAAATAGCAAAAAAGAAAAGCTAGGAAAATTATTGGAGAGGAAAGAATACCTGAATCCTCAGTATCTGATGACATGGTCATGAGATCCCGAAAACGACGTGGAAGAAGGAGCGCGAATCGACGAGCTGGCGACAACTGATCACCTCCGACGAGGCCGGAGGTGGGGCTAGGGCTAGGGCTAGGGCTAGGGCTAGGATGAGAGAGAGACGACGCGGTGAGCTAAATCCCTGCTGAGTACATTGGTGGCAAATTCCTTACCCGACCCGTTTTCAGCGGGCACAGCGGGCTGGTAAACGACCGAGTCAGAGCGAATATCTTGCTATTCGAGTTCGAATTCAACCCTAACCCACATGTTCGAATTCGTGTTCTTATCCCACTCGAAGACTTAATGATCATTCGAATTCGATTCGAGAACTTATATTAGCATTCAGTAAGTATTCATGAATGTTCGTTTAGCAACTAATTTCAGTCAAAATTAAAAAAAAACGAATTTTTTTTAAGCTTTATCTTACATTTTGATGAAAGGATGGTAGATTGGGGTGGTCGAGGACACGCCGGAGAGGGATGAGAGCTTCGAGACTCGAGAGGAAGAGAGCATCGACGGAGAAGGAGACTGTCGACGGCCGAAGAGACTGTCGAAGACGAGTGAGGGCCGAGCGGCTGAGAGAAGGAGGCTTAGAAAATGGAAAAGCCCCATCCTAGCATCCCCTCTTGAGTATTTATATAGGTTATATTTGTATATAAAAGTTGAGATAAGTAGTATTTGCAAAATAGTTTAATTAGTATGACTCAGATGTAATAAGATGTAAAAAGTTATCGAATAGTTAAAATCAATCGAATCGAACATATATTTGGTTAAATTATTTTTATTATAAATCGAATATCTAAAAAATATTTGTTTAATACTAAATAAACTATCGAATCGAACTTGATTGAATATCTGACCGAATAATAACCACACTGTTTATTAATTATTCGGTTTACTTCTACCCCTAGGCACGAGGTCATTAAATGGGTACACGTCGCTCTTGGGTTGACCCGACTACCCGTTTATGACCCTTTTAAATAGAGATCATTCTGTCGAAGGGTAAATTATACTTAAAATACCCTAAGATTTACCAAAGTTGCACGAAAATAACTTTCATAACCGTATAAATAGTCTGTAAGCTTTTCTAAAATTTCTATCACTAAAATAAAGGTGACGGCGTTAACTTTATCTGCTATAATTAATTTCTCCTTTGGTTATAATTTCTCTTTTCTTACAATTCACTAACTTCCCCCCAAATTCCAAGTCTCCTATGGTAGCATTGGATCACGAGTTTGAATTTGAAATATGTAAATTAGTGATCTGGAAGTAGAGTTGCAATGTAGCGTGGATTTGGGTTAGGCAAAGGCCTAAGTACCTTCCCTCCCTTTTTTTGCCAAAAAATTAGGCGCATTTGCATAATTCCTTATTAATTTATGATTCTCGTGTGAATAAGAGTGATTTGGTGCTTGATTTTAAAACATTGGGTGTTAATTCTAATTTTGTTGTCTACAAAATTGAGAGTTCTCTTTTGCATGATTGTTTTATGGATTAAATTGGTTATTGTAGATAAGTTTTTTGTGTTTGGTGATATCGCTTATTGCTAAGAGTTACTAGATTTTTGAGTTTGGTGATGTTTTTTGAATTCTTTACACACATAGTGTATTTGGTGCTAGTGCTATGTTTTTCTTATTGTTATGTATAAATAAGATCTATGAAAAAGCCCTAGGAGCACTCAAGGTTGAAGATATTTTTGCATTACATTGGCCTTGATGATTTTGTTTCTGTTCTTTTAGTCAGTTCAAGGGCCTGTCAATACTACACTTGTAGGGCTCAAGATGGCACATGGTGCCACCAAAACAAAAACCCTGGCCAATCAGCTATTTACATAGAATTTTCTCCTCTAATCGCTTTTCTTCTTCCTTCTTATCCGCTTTCATCCTTCGATTTTATTATATCCTGCAAATAACCTAAGTGTTAATCCTCTCTCTAGAGTTGACACGTGTCCAATAATTGCCAATCTTCAGTTCAGCCTCACTCTAAGCGAGGACGACTCAAGTAGCTTGAGCATAACTTTTCCAAATAGGTCCACAGTCGGGCATACAACTTGCAAGGCCGACTAGATTGGTAGTGCTTGTCGGCCTGCTCACAAATTTGAGACGAGAAACATCCTCCCTCGGCCTACCATTCAAATCGACTCCACTCCTTTTCAGCCTTTAACCCTTCCAAGCCGACAACTTGTGAGACTGACTAAAAAGGCTATACTTATCAGTCTCCAGTGAGACAAGTCGAAAGGCAGTGCATCCTTTAGCCTCCTGCCAACATCTGATTGTCATCACATTAAATGAATGATCATAATTATCATTGCTCCAGCCCTAAAAGTCTTTATGACTCATCGGACCTTGTCAGCACCAGGCACGCCGCGTCACCATCATATTAAACACTTGGGTGACTCATCCCTCACAGCAACTAACACATGTAAAGAAAATGCCAACGAAACCGCTTGTTTGGACTTAGCCTAAGTTAACCTTTTGCCCTTTTGGATCTGCTATAAAAAGTGTGGGGGTGTTGTTTGCTGCTTAAGGTAAGCGAATTCTACCCTAGAAAACTCTTGCACACTTACTCACCTTCTCTAATCAAAGCTTTATACTGACTTAACCATCGAATGAATCACCGGAGATCCCAACTTTGACCTCTTACATATTCTTCATGTGCAGGATGAGACTATTAGCTCAAGAACAAGTCGTCTGAAGAAGTTTGAGAACCCTAATACCCCCTCATAATCCACAAATAAATCCATGTTAAATAACTAACATCAACAGTTTGCTCCCACTACGGGTCTTTCACCATTCTTCACAAAAAATGTCTGGTTCTAATCGCCCTGGTCGATCCTTCAATCCGTCAGCTGAAGAGCCGCATATTATGTCACTCAAGCGTAGTTGGAAGAATCTTCTCAGAGGATCTCTCAATCTCTCCAATAGCAATTCGCTGCCTTCACCAATGAGCTCATCAACCAGATTCCTCTCCAACAACCATCGTCATCATTTATTCCTCCTTTGCCTCTAGCGGATAGCCATTCATCCTTTCTCCTCCTGAGTTCACCACTCATTGGACAAAAAAGCTTCGAGAAGCTCAGCTTGAAGTTTGTGCATCATTTCTTTGCCGACACCAAGCAAAAATGACCTTCCTACATCTTGTTGCAAATGAGGCACGAACTTTGAGAAAGCCTTAGAGACTACTTCAAGAGGTTCCAAGCTAAGAGGCTATAAGTTGACCTTCATTCCCTCTCCTCTTCAATCTCCTCTTCTTCCTCCCCCACCATCTCCTCCACCCCTAGGGTGTCTCCAAACACTAGTTCTCTCTCTTCTTCTCATCAACCAATACCTCCTCCCTTCCCTCTCCTTTTCAGTTCTCCATCCTTCCCCACTTCCTCCACCATCTCCTTCACTTTTAAGGTTTCAAACTCT